GTCTTTTCTTCTTCTTTTTATTTTTTATTTTTTTTAATAAAAGAAGATTAACGGTACATAAAAGAGTTTAAATTTTAAAAATAATAGAATAATAGATTTGACACAATTTGTTTCCCAAGCTTTAAAAAAAATTGACATACAATTTGGGTGGAGATGGTCTAAGCTAGTCAAGTTGGAGGTTATTTAAATTTGACTTAACAATTTAATGAGTTTTAAAATGTGTTTAAATTTAATTAGTTCGTTTGTTTGCCTGTTTTAATTTTTATAACAAAGTTTGGCTTATTTATGTATTGAGTTGATCCGAAATGAGTTTTAATTGAGTCGAGCTTGAGTAGCTTAATTTCATAATGCATACAATTGAGTTTAATTGAGAAGAAAATTGTTCAAGTTTAGTTTAAAAGTTTAAATTTTTTTAAAATGTATTCAAATTTAATTTATGTACATAATAAGTCAATTTTAAACGAATTTAAACAAATTCAAGTAACTTAATTGTTTTACAATTCCAAAGTGTTAAAATGTCAATGTCATACAGCTTTGAATTGGAAAATTATAATGGAGTGGACTTTACGACTTGAAGTCTTTGTTCTAACTTTCTCAATCAAAATTCGGCATTATTCCGGTCTTAATACACGCTTCTGTATAAATATTTGGGATTATATGAATTAATCTATCACCCGGACTATATACGGGATAATTATAAGTATTTATATTTGTTTTAAATTTTTTTGTAATATATAAATTATATTTTTTTAGATTTTTTTATAAAAATAATTTAACAATCTTATCACTAATCATAGTGTATGAAAGAAGTTAAAAAGGAAACTGTAGTAACTATGCATGGGTTGTATCTATAATTATTTGTATGAGAAGATTTTAAATGCTCATCAGGAATTTTGACCAAATCAATAAATGCAGGTATGTGGATTGAAAAAAGTTAATAAATGCTGATAAGAGAATTTTAACCAAATCAATAAATACTAAGTTTTTTTTTAAATAAAAAATTAAAAAAATTCAAATTGGGATATTGGAACTTCCCCAAGGCTTGGGATTAGAAATCCCTTTTTCCTCGATATATACTAGCCTATTACCCGTGCTATGCACAGATAATTATAGATATTTATATTTATTTTAGATTTTTTTAATATATAAATTATGTTTTTTAAGATTTTTTATAAAAATAATTTAACAACTTTATCACTCGCCATAGTGTATGGGAGAAGTTGAAAAGGGTACTGCAATAACTATACAGGGATTGTATCTATAATTATTTGTATAAGGAGATTTTAAATGCTGATCAGGAAATTTTGACCAAATCAATAAATACAGACATGTGAAAAGACATGTGGATTGAAAAAAGTTAATAAATGCTGATCAGGAGATTTTGACCAAATCAATAAATGCTGAGTTTTTTTTTAAATAAAAAATAAAAAATTTAGAAAATTCAGATTGGGATATTGAAACTCTCACAGGCCTTGAGGTTAAAAACCCTCTTCTGCTTAATATATTGTATAGATAGCCTATCACCCGTGCTATGCACAGGATAATTATAGATTTTTATATTTGTTTTAATTTTTTTTAATATATAAATTATGTTTTTTTAAGATTTTTTATCATAACCATAGTGTACAGGAGAAATTAAAAAGGTTACTGCAATAACTATGCACGGCCTGTATCTATAATTATTTGTATAAGGGGATTTCAAATGTTAATCAAGGATTTTGACCAGATTAATAAATGTAGGCATGTGGATTGGAAAAAGTTAATAAATGATGATCATGAGATTTTGACCAAATCAATAAATGTTGAGTTTTTTTTTAAATCAAAAATTTAGAAAATTAAGATTGAGAGATTAGAGCTCCCACAAGGCTTGGGGTTTAAAAACCCAATTTTTCTTAACATATTTACGATTAACTATATATGTGAATTGAGATTTTTAAATGTCTTTTTTTTTTCTTTTTTCTTTTTTAAATGTCTTTTTTTTTTCCTTTTTTATATTATATTAAAGTTTAATATTTTGATAATAATCATATGTGTTAGACTTTTCAAGGAATTAAATGTCAGTTTTTTTTTTTAAATCAAAAATTTAGAAAATTAAGATTGAGAGATTGGAGCTCTCACAAGGCTTGGGGTTTAAAAACCCCATTTTTCTTAACATATTTACAATTAACTATATATGTGAATTGAAATTTTTAAATGTCTTTTTTTTTTATTTTTTCTTTTTTAAATGTCTTCTTTTTTTCCTTTTTCATATTATATTAAAGTTTAATATTTTGATAATAATCATATGTGTTGGGACTTTTCAAGGAATTCATATGTGTTGAATTTCAAAGAATTTTTTTTTATACTTGTTTTTAATGCATTAAAGTGTTATTATAAGGGTAAGACCTGTAGGTTGGGAGAAGTTAATAAATGCTAAGTTTTTTTTTTTAAATAAAAAAATCAAGAAATTTAGATTGAGAGATTGGAGCTCCCACAAGACTTGGGGTTAAAAAGCTCCTTTTACTTAATATATAGTATAGATATATAGATATAGATTGCAATGAAGTCATCTCACCATACACAAATTGAAGTTCATTATAAAAATAAGGGTTTTAAAAGTGATTTTTTTAAGTGAATTTTTAGTTTTTTAGTTAAAATATAAGGTGTAGTGTAGAAATTGTTTGGGAATGATTTCTTGAATTTTTATACTATGAAATAAAAAAAATAAAAAAAAAACTACAAAGAGAGGGAAAGATTCTTGACCTTTTTTATAGTATATTTTGATTTTTTGAATATTACTTTCTCTTTTCAAACAGAGCCTAAAACGTAAAGGTTATGGTTGTATCGGGAGAGAGATTAACAGAGGGAAAAGAAACATGAATGAAATATATATAAGATGAGTTGGGTTTGGGATGTTCTAAAAAAGTGTATTTTTTGACTTATTGACTTATATGAGTTGGGTTTGGGTTAGGTTTGATGTGATGTGTTAGAGAGGTGATGTGATTTAAATAAGATGATATGACTTAAATAAGATAGTAACTTTTTGACTTTTTGTATTATTTAAGTCATGTCAAACTTGACCTTAATGTCATGTACTTTGAAATTAGTGTCCCCTTAATGTCATGTACTTTGAAATTAGTGTCCCCTTGCCCCCTCAATTTATGACGTTCTTTGAAATTAGTGTCCCCTTGCACCCTCAAATGTTTTGGGGAAATCCTACTCTTTTGACGTGCATTTTTTGGGTTTTTTTTTTAATTTTCTTTTATAGGTTTTTAGTGAATTTTTTTAAAAGAATTTTAAAATTTTAGATTTCTAAATTCACTTGACAAGACGAATCGAACAATCATAATTTTTTTAAAAAAAAATTAGAAAAGATAAAAATAAGTCAAAATAAATATATATATTTTGTTTATTTTCATTTTTGGTTTGTTGCCAAATTGAAGAGAAGATGGTTATATATATATATATATATATGATTCACCATATGAGGATAAGGACAATCTTATCATCTACCCATTTTCTTTGCAAATTTCTTTATCTCAAATGTTTGGTCGCCAAGACCGGCCGAAAGAAGCATGGTCTTTGATTATGATTTATTATAATTTTAGTTATGATTTAATTATGTATATATATTGGTATTAGTTATGATTTATTATGATGTTAATTATGATGTTATTTTAGTTACAATTTAAAAAGTCTTTTAATTATATCCTATGTGATGTATAATTATTTTATTTTATTTTATTTTTTTAATTATGACTCTTGTGCCTAATAAACTATGGATTTTGTTAACAAATGCCATAAGGGCACTTGTTAAGGATATATTAAATTCACTCAACAACCTCTACTATCATAGAAAATATAAAACACTATAAATACATTTTTCTTGTAGACTAATTATCTATTTTTTTCAATTTCATATATTTTAACATTCTATACTTTTGAAAATAGATTTTTTTTTAAAACATTTTTTTATCATAAAGTAAATGCCCTTTATTTTAAATAACATTTCATAGTTTTTTTTTAAATTTTTTAAATATTATTTATTTTCAATCATAATTAAATTATATGGTAAAAAAATGAATTTAAAAATTATAACAAATAGAAAAAAGAAATTTATAAGATCAATCAACAAAGAATATGAATTTATTTAAAAACAAATGCTACAACATTGTCATTCACTATCACCATTGCATATTAAGGTTCAAAGGATTCAAAATAAAGAATATTTAAAAAAAAAAATACAAAATGTCATTTAAAAATAATGGACATTTACCTTTATGATAAAAAAATTATTTTTTTAGAAAAACTCTATTTTGAAAAGTATATAATGTTAAAATATATGAAATTAGAAGGAAAAAAAAAAAGGTAGTTTAGTCTATAAGTAAGGGAAATGGGGCCACTGCTATACTAAGGCACATCAGTGATTGTTGTGTCTCAATTTGAAGTGTATTATAGACTTATTTTTATAATCTGAACCGTTCATTTTGTAAGATTTGTTGAATACTTCATGTCTACCAAATATTATATTAATCGGATATTAATAACTATATGATCGAATTGCATATTGTTTATACTATTTCTCAAAAGAAAAACTTATTGTTTATTTTTTTGGTTATCGATCATATCGTTATTGATATCCGATTAATATTATTTTTGATAGGCATGAATTACTCAACAAATTCTACAAAATGAACGGCTCAGATCATAAAAATAAGCTTATAATGCACCTCAAATTGAGGCACAACAGTCACTTTTTTGCCTTTAGTATAGCAGTGACCCCAATTCCATAAGTAAGGTGTATTTGTAATGTTTTATATTTTTTATGATACTAGAGGTTGTTGAGTAGATTTAATGTATCATTAACAAGTGTTTTTAGAATACTTATTAATAAAATTCTTAAAGTATAAGTAAAAATTATATTAAATAATCTGAAACAAACTCTGTGAATAAATAATAATAATAATAAATTATAAACAACACGAACCAACCACCCTATTGTGGTTGTTTTTTTTTGGGGAGAGGGGTGCCTGCTGTACAGCAGGCACTGCTGTACAGCCAAAAGGGCAAAAAGAAAAGAAAAAAAAAACAAAAATATCTGAAGCCCCTTATTTTTCCATTCACGGCACAGCCTGCTGTGCTTAAAGCACAGCAGGCACCCCTTGTCGTTTTTTTTGTATGGTTCAACTTTTATTTTTTGGAATTACTTTATCTACATTCCACTTATGTGCTATATCCCAAATATTAATGTAGCGTAAATAAGGTTGTAACTTGTACGAGCATTTCCTGTCAAATTTAATGTGGTAATTCAATAGCTTTATTTTGACATATTAAACAAACTCTACTTGGTGTGCATCTTTTCATGTCAATTTTGACATGAAGATCACTTCATGTATTTTCTTCGTCTTTTTTTATTTTTATTTTTATTTTTTAACAAAAAAAGATTGATAGTACTGTTGGCTACATATTTTGTATAAGTCAATTACAATTCAACGCGTGGCAGAATAAGAGCAATATAGGAAGACTATTCAAGTCTTCAATCATAATCACACACATGGCAATCAGCATTGGTTATAATGGATTTGCGTAACACTAGATCAGCAAAAAGATGCAAAGTGACTTGACTTCAACGGTTACGCACATTTAAATTCAAAATCAGGAGTAAAGCCTAACTGTAGGTATTGGCATAGTGGAGCTAACTATAAGGCAACATGATCAACGATCATGGAGGAGCATTTCGACGGTTAGAAGTGCAGTTCAATGGTTATCCTTGAGAAGTATAAATAACAGAGAAGGCCCCAGAAAAAGGCCCCAGAAAAAAGCCCCAGAAAAAAGCCTCAGACTCAGATCCATAAAACTAGTTTTATCTACTTTACTTCCTTTCCAGTTTTATATTTCATGTTCTTTATATTTCTGTACTTTAAAATTTCTGCACTGCATTTCGTTTATAGGAGTAGTTTCAAGTAGATTGTTACTGTAAACCTTTACGAGGCTGAATTGGATCATTGTAAGTCTTTTATTTTACTTAATGAAATACTGCAATTGTTCTTTATTTTAATCATTGTCAGTTTATTCCTCCTAAGCAAAGCCACCAATAAAAGTCCTCTTCATTGAGACTGAAAGAACTAAAACACAATCGTCTGATAATTTGTTGACAATTAAATTTCTGTAAGGACTGATTGATTCTTACTGGCACGCTCACAATTACAAAAATAACATTCGAAAGCCAAAAAAGTCAACATATATTTTTGGCACGCCCAATGGGACTAATTGAATTGGCTAGACGTAGGAGATAAGGAGAAAATGAACGCTTGAAAAAAGGCGTGGAAGGAGAGATAGAAATGCCTAATTCAGAGGATAATGTGACAACACATCCTGTGAAAACACCTATTTTATCAGAACCTATGGTTGAACAGACCAGCACTTAGGAACAAGTACCACATGTTCGTAATATTGGACGGAGCCAAGAAATTGGATCATTCACTGTTCCATCTACTCAGCCAATGAATCCATGGGATGGCCTAGTAGATGCTATGGGATAGCAGTTAATGAACACAATAGAAATGTGGGCAACATCCTTTTTGGATCGAATGAATACCCACCAACCAACAAATGCAAGGCATATAGAGAAAAATTCAAATGCCCTTCAGCAAAGATTGGCTAGAGACAAACAACATATGCAGAGTAATGGACACATTAATGGTCAAACTAGTAACCAAAACCTTGAAAGACCACCACCTCAATCTTGGTAGAGGCCTATGGCAAATCAAAATGCTTCATTACTTAACAGTGAAGCCATGCAAATTGATTTTTGGCACGCCCAATGTGACTAATTGAATTGGCTAGACGTAGGAGATAAAGAGAAAATGAACGCTTGAAAAAAGGCATGGAATGAGAGATAGAAATGCCTAATTCAGAGAATAATGTGACAACACATCCTGTGAAAACACCTATTTTATCAGAACCTATGGTTGAACAGACCAGCACTTAGGAACAAGTACCACATGTTCATAATATTGGACGGAGCCAAGAAATTGGATCATTCACTGTTCCATCTACTCAGCAAATGAATCCATGGGATGGCCTAGTAGATGCTATGGGATAGCAGTTAATGAACACAATAGAAATGTGGGCAACATCCTTTTTGGATCGAATGAATACCCACCAACCAACAAATGCAAGGCATATAGAGAAAAATTCAAATGCCCTTCAGCAAAGATTGGCTAGAGACAAACAGCATATGCAGAGTAATGGGCACACTAATGGTCAAACTAGTAATCAAAACCTTGAAAGACCACCACCTCAATCTTGGTAGAGGCCTATGGCAAATCAAAATGCTTCATTACTTAACAGTGAAGCCATGCAAATTGGTCGATTTGGCCCAACACAGGATAATGATGTAAGGATGGTTCCAAATCCCATGTTCGAAGCCATACCTAGCACGAGGGGGTTCATTAATCCTTTGTTCAAATTTATACTCGGGGGGTTGGAAGGTTTTCCTGCAACTAGAAGAGACACAACACCTGTTCCAGCACCGTTTGCAGGTCCCTTTGTAGGACAGGCTCAAAGGGGTCACCCATATCCCCAACAGCAGCCAGCACCACAGGGACAACCAGTCCCAAATATACTACCCTATGGACCAAGAGGACCCCAGGCACAAGGTGGTCTATCAAATATTGTGTTTGTTCCTCCGGTAGTGGTTCAACAAGCACAAAATATGGTTCCTAGGGACCAAATTGTTGATATTATTAGAGAGATGTGTGGACCAATGGCTCGAGAGGTTCAAACTCCTGTGTACAGGAAGCCATATCCAGAATGGGTAGATAGGGTACATGAGTACCCAAGGGGGTTTAGGATACCCGACTTCGCTCTTTTTTATGGGAATGGAAACCAATCAACGGTTGAACATATTGCTAGGTTCGCTGCTCAGTGTGGTGAATTTACTAACAATGACTATATGAAGTTAAGATTGTTCCCAAACTCTCTAACTGGGGCAGCATTTGTATGGTATATTAACCTTACACCTGGCTCCATTCAAACTTGGCAACAAATAGAAGAGGCATTTCATGCCCAATTCTTCCAAACACAGCCAGAGGTTTCCATGGCAAACTTGGCAAGATTGAGTCAAAGGCCTGATGAGAAGGCTACTCAGTTTATCGCCAGATTTAAAAGAGCAAGAAATAAATGTAGGATCATCTTACCAGAGCCTGAATTTGTGAGATTGGCTCAAAATGGTTTAGAGTTTAGGCTTCGAAAGAAGTTTGACTCAACTGAGTTTAGAGACTTAGTGGAATTAACCTATAAGGTGTCTAGATATGAAACTTTACTTGAGAAAGAACAAGATCGAAGTAATGCATCATATAAGACCTACTATAACTTATAAGGTGTCTAGATATGAAGCATTTCTAGAGGAGGAACAAGATCGAAATAATGCATCGTACAAGACATATTATAGATATCCTAATTATGAGATTGATGCAGCAGAGATTGTGGGGAAAGAACCTGTGATCTGTGAAGTATCAATTCATAAAGACACAACAATTGACCAGCAGTTTAAAAAGAAAGACTTTCACAGGAAATACTCTTTCGATTTAACAAAGGCATATGACATTTTTGATCGTTTGCTTGCTGTGAATTTCCTGAAGTTACCAAAAGGAGTTAAAATTTCATCTCCAGAGAAACTTAAAGGAAAAGTGTATTGTAAATGGCATAATTCTTGGTCTCACTCAACTAAAAACTATATTATTTTTTGAGATAGGATCCAAGAGCAGATTCGAAAAGGGAGTTTAAAATTCCCAACTAAAGCAGAAAAGGCCATGAGGATTGATACTAATCCATTTCCAGAAATTGGAGAGGTGGCAACCAATGTTATTACGCCTGACTTTGAGAACTTGTCCTTGAAAGAATTGGAAAAAGTTAATGTGCAGATGCATGTTACCAGCCAGACAACTGTCAAGAAAGACACTGGAAATCTACCAGCTATTGGACAAAGTTTCTCAGACCAGAGGGAAGACTCTGATGAAGAAGCACTAGATGATGATTCTTTAGAAGCAGCTGTCATGCAAAGAATGTATCCTAGATGCAAGCTGAGCTATAAGTGGTTGAAAGGGCTTCCAATTGATGGGAAGCAATATTACAAGGATGTGCAGAGGCGTCCTAAACTAACCGGTGCTTATAACAAAAGGCCATATCCAATTGGTACGAAGCATCAGCCATTAATGGTTGAGCCAACAGTCACTAGGATGCACTCCAAAGGCAAGAGGCCTTTACATGAATCTAGGCCACTTAACTATTACAGAATGGAGGGCAATCATCTTGAAAGAAGATCTGAAAGGGGTTCAAGTTACGGGATCAAAGCCAGAGATTGACATCCTAGACCAGCCTCACACAGGACAGAAGGTGGCCATCTTCATTGAAGGCCAGAATTGGGCCCAAACAGGAAGTTAAGGCCAAGCAGTGGCCTTCACAGCCAGCTTCGAAGATGGCTTCGAAGGAAGAAAGAAATAGTTCAACAGATGGGTCAGTAGGTTCGTGGGTACCTAGAGTTCCAGATTGATTTGTCATGTAGAACAAACCTAGGGAGATGTCTACCCAAAGAAGTATTGTTGGAAACCAAGGTATGATGGTCAAACCTCCTTTCGTGGCTCCGAACAATTGGGTATTGCTTAAGCACCCGAAGATAAAAGAACCAAACATGGTTCCAATGATTTCTAGGTCCCAAAAAAGGAAGATCCAGCGAAGGTACACTCAGTACCAGAAGGATCTAAAAGAAGGTGGAGAAAGCTCTTCATTGGTTCAGAACTAGGTAGAAGGAGAAGAAGATTCAAAGTCAGACCATAATTTAGAATCGACTTTTCCAGACAAAAGGAGTTGCAGCAGGGAGCAGTTGGCCAAAGTTCATTCCGAACTAAAGGCCAAGGAAAGATCCAGCCTGGCAGGATTGGAAAAGGCTTTGAAGGAAAGTGATAGTGAGATAGAGGAAGAAGTTGGCCTAGGCCAAAGGAATGAAGTGGTTGAGGAAGAGATGTTTGAAGCCTTCATGGCTGAACAAACATTTTTGGTTGAAAAGCCAGCAGAAACAGACCATTCGAAGGAAACTATGGGTACAGAAGTGCCAGAATGTAGCATAGAGGACGCTTTTGAAGTAATTGAACCAGTTGACCAAGAGGAAAAGTAGGTACAGTCAGTCGTCCAATTTGGCTCATTCCCTCTAGTGTCAGTGAATATGGTGCTTCTATTACCACAGGAGTTTCAAGCTCAAGATGAAAACCACAGTCAGGAGATGGACCCAATCCCAGTCTCCAGTGAAGACTCCCAAGTAAGTATGGTGCAAGACGAATTCGAAGTAGCCACACCAATGGAAACTGAAGACGAGAGTGAGGAAGAGGTAAGTATTAACCTCTCATACCCTTTTGAGTGTCCCACGACATTCATGACACAGCATGACAAACCCTTGTATATCAAGGCCTTCTTCGATGGAATACAAATGAATCGGGTGCTAGTAGATAACAGGGCAGCAGTAAATCTGCTTCCAAAATCTTCGTTGAAGAAACTAGGAAAGAAGAACCCCTGACTAATCCCAACCAGTGCAGCCATTGCTGGCTTCGCTGGAGACAAACAGATGGTCCAAGGTATTTTGCCTATCAACCTGAGTGTGGGAACCAAGGACTGCATGACAGCATTCTTCGTTATCGACAACAATGCTAAGTATAATGCTTTACTTGTAAGAGATTGGATTCACACCAACAAGTGTGTGCCTTCCTCTTTACATCAGAAAATCATGATGGCCTTGTACAATGGAGAGACAGAGGAGATCAATGCAGATCCTTAACCCTTCATAACTTGTGCAGATTTTGCAGAGGCCAAATTGTATACTGAAAGAGTAGCACCACTCAGTATACTGAGAAAGCCTGATGGATCAGCTGAAGTGACGGTTGAGGAGGAATTAGCACACCTGAAGCACTTTGTCCAGGAAAGTGCTGATGAAGAGTTTGTCGTTAAAAATGGCAATGATGCCTGGTTGTAGGCAAAGAAATGGAACCCAGGAGGCCAAATCTCTGGCTTTAATTAAGTTTTCAGCATTGGACATATAGTCAATAGTCTAGAAAGTGCAAGAACAAGAGAAAGAAGCCATAATAATTGGTTGGAAGCAGGAACAGCAACAGGTCAGATGTTTGGCCTTGGATAAATACTGTGCTTTGGATATTGAAATAAAAGTCCAAGAGATACAGGAAGAGGATGCCTTGTGGACAGACTTTGTCTATGAAGAGGAGGGTAAGGATGTCGAACCAAAGAAACTGGGAGCAGAACAAAGCAAGGAGATTGCTTCGAAGTCAGAAGGAATCAAAGAAGGAGAATCATAAAGGTCTCAGATACAAGATCCCTTGGAAGAAGTAAATCTAGGGGAATGTTCTATACAACAGCCTACTTATATAATAGCTTGTTTGAATGCTCTTGATAGGGACCAGTTGTTGGTGGTCTTAAAGAAATATAAAGACTATTTTGCATGGTCATATAATGAACTACCAGGATTGGATAGGTCATTAGTAGAACATAGGCTCCCTATGAGGCCTAATTTCAAGCCATACAAGCAAAAACCAAGAAGAATGAGTCCATAAGTGATTTAGAAAGTTAAAGAGGAGATTCTTAGGCTCCTCAAGGCAGGCTTTATTAGGATAGCCAGGTATGTTGAATGGTTATCCAATATTGTACCTGTAGTTAAAAAGAATGGTAAAATGAGGGTGTGCATCGATTTCAGAAACTTGAATTTAGCAACTTCAAGCCATACAAGCAAAAACCAAGAAAATGAGTCCATAAGTGATTCAGAAAGTTAAAGAGGAGATTCTTAGGCTCCTCAAGGCAGGCTTTATTAGGATAGCCAGGTATGTTGAATGGTTATCCAATATTGTACCTGTAGTTAAAAAGAATGGTAAAATGAGGGTGTGCATCGATTTCAGAAACTTGAATTTAGCAACCCCAAAAGATGAGTATCCTATGTCTATAGTGGATTTGTTAGTAGACACTTCAGCAGGGCATCAAGTTTTATCAATGATGGATGGGCATTCTAGTTATAACCAAATCTGTATTGCAGCGGAGGACATCCATAAAACAGCATTCAGATGTCCTAGGAATATTGGCACCTTCAAATGGGTTAAAATGCTATTTGGTTTGAAGAATGCTGGGGCTATATATCAAAGGGCTATGAACACTATTTTTCATGACCTCATTAGAGGATATTTAGAGTGTTATATTGATGATATTGTAGTAAAGTCCCAATCCATGAAAGAACATTTGTTTTACTTGGAGGCAGCCTTTGAAAGAATGAGAAGGTTTAAGTTGAAACTTAATCCTCTCAAATGTGCTTTTGGCGTATCAGCTGGAAACTTCTTGGGCTATGTAGTACACAAGAAAGGAATACAAATTGATCAGAATAAAGCCAAAG